TCAGAAGATTTTTATGAATGAATGAAAAATGAAGTGAGCAGAAACAGGAGAATAATTTATACCATAACTTCAAAATTATAAAAATGAACAATTTTGAGGACTTTTAGAAATTTATGAAGAATGAAATGAAAAGAACATGAAGGATAATTTATATAATAATAACATAGTGTAGAAATTAGAAAAAAAACTTTGAAAGCTATGAGAACAATGATAAATAAAATAACCATTCATGATTCCAGAGTATTGATGATGAAACATGTTATCTATTACAGACTGGTGATGGATATACAATATGATATTTTTTTTTGGTAAACAACCATTTAGGGAGTTTTTTTTTCTAGACTGTGCTATTTGTTACAAGAAATTTGTTTTTATTTTATTTATTTGTTCATTGAATAGGTGGTGGGAGGGAGAGAAAATAGATTACCATTGTTTTTTAATGGAGAGATGGGGATGCTGTAGATGTGAAATGCCATATGTACTTTCCAATGAGGACATTGTATTATTAATTTTACTTAATTATTTTACTTTGCTATATGAGACCTCTCATGAAGTGGAAGTAATCTGTAAAGGTAATGTGTAAACAAAATAAAGCAATATAGCTTTAAAAAATGAAACCTTGGAAAGCTCAGTTTTAGTTGAATGGTGGCCTGAGATGGCAAATGAGCAGGAGGAGAGAAAGTGAAGTTGTATGTATGTATGTATGTTTGTATGTTTGTATGTATGTGTGTATGTATGTATATGTACGTGTTCCCCCATCACCAGCAATTGGGCTGTGAAGGGGAAGTTATAGGATTATAGTTAAAGCAGCTGGAAGTGTCTAGTAAAGATATTTTAAGGATGGGGAAGAGAAAACCTAGGAAGATTTATGTCATGATTTTTGAAGGCAGCAGTCTGATCACATTTGTAAATACAGTATTTTAAGATGTAATTTGTCTGACTAAGAGGGAATGGAAGAATAGGTTGGCAAAGTAGCAATAACAGGTTCTTAGTATTTGATCCTTGTTTTATAAGTTTTACTTTACTTTCATTAGAGAATTATTTCCATTTTTACTAGTACTGGTGATACAGATGTTAATTTAATATGTCTCTTCTTTTTGCTTGTTGTAATAGTATTTGGAGGATATATTTAGACCAAAAGATAAAAAGCATTGTCATTAAGCTAATTTCAGGCCTAGTTTATAATTATGAAAAAAGAGCCCTGGATCTCTAGTCAGAGGACCTGTTTTTAAATCTCACCTTTGTTTGTCACTTACTACTTGTGTCAACTTGGCCAAGTCACTTCATGTTCTTGGGCCTCAGTTTCTTTAACTATAAGATGAGGGGCTTGGAGTAGCTGGCCTCTAATATCACTTCTAAATATAAATTTAGGTTACTGTAAGTCTTGAGATTTAAAGCAATTTAATTTTAATTCATATGTTTCATTCTATGTTTTAGTGAAGTTATCTGACAAGACTCAGACATAGATTTTTTCCATACAGTGAATTGTATTGTGTCTGGGAACTGTCCACAGCCAAAGGTCAAGCTTTGACCACAAGGAAACTCCCAATCGCATGTAGGCTCAAAAGGACGCCATTATACTCAACGCATTGAGAGATGTAAATTACATACAATCTGTTTAAACAGGAAAACCTTTTTGGACACTAGGTTTTTGATATTCTGCCCTGATCTTGGATTATTCCCTCCCCACCTTCCCCCCATACACACTGGAAAGTCCATTATTACCATATTGCTATTTTATTCTTCTTGTCTGGATGCTTCTCTTGCTACTAGGCCTTGTTTGCTGAAAGTCTTCAGTTATAATATATTGCTAGGCACACAGCAACAGGAAAGAACTAAATTTGACTTGTTGAAATATTGCAGCTTCACCTTTACTTCTCAATCCCAATTTATAAATTATCTTCTCCTAATTATAAGCTAAACCTACAGAGAATTTAATTGCAAGATCCTTTTTTCCCCCTTTTGGTCAAATACACCTCAAAATATTATTACAGCAAGCTAAAAAGAACAGATAAATAGCAAATTAGCCACCTGTCACCAGCACTAATTTAAATGGAAATAATTGTTCTAATTAAGTTGCATTCATAGGTTATAAAAACATGAATAAAATACTCAGAGAAAGTACAGCCCTTGGCAAGATTTTGAAAACTCATTTTCTCTTCATTGTCCTTGGCCTTCCCTTTCTGCAGCCTTTGCCATCTTCATGACTCCTTCTTACTTCTCCTACTTTCAGGAACCCTGGGCCTTCATGCTTGCCATTCCTTCTCTTTCACTTTCCTCAACTCTAAATTTGTGTTCAGGGACAGTTTTCATGTCAGTCATTTAAATAGAAATAGGAACAATTCTGCCATTGTGTTTTCCTTCCAGGGCATTTACATTTTCAGCCTTGTTGAATTTCCTAATGGAATGAGACAGCTAGGTGGCATAGTGAATAGAGTCCTGGAATTTGAATGAGGAAGACATGAGTTCAAATCCTGTCTCAAAGACTTATGAGCTATGTGATCCTGGACATGTCTCTTTACCTCTCCCAATCTGAGTTTCCTCATCTAGAAAAATCAGATTATAGAAATATCTATCATTGTTATATCAAATGAGCTAATAAATGTAAAACACTTTACAAATCTTAAAACGCAGCATATCAGCTATTATCATTATTATTACATTTAAACCCCAGTAAAGGTCCCTTTCTGTGAGTGGGGGAAGAGCTTTTGTAGTAGCATTCTCTTCCCTTATAACCTACAAGTCTTGACATTTAGGTGGCTGCCACCTCTGCCTGAGCTATAAAGTCAGCCTTAATGTGTAAAGAGACTGGGGCCAGAAGTTAGCAATAAACTTCAGTGCTACTCATGACTTAAAAATTTACTTTAGGCCAGAGATTCCTTTGATTTTATTCTTTATATTTTAAAAAGATAAATAATAAAATTCACTTACACCAGGGTGATACTTTGAAGATGGTCTCATGTCATTATTTTGACTTTTTCTCTAATGTTCTTTAATTAGATATTAATTACTAGATTCAATTATCAATTCAACAAACATGTTAAGTTCCTTTAAAGTATTTTTTTAAATGCAAAGCACTGGAGACACAAAATAAAAAAATGAATGACTCCCTGCCTTTAAAGAGTTTACATTCTCTTGGGAAGGGAGGAACTTCCATGTAAGTACATATGCAAATACAGGATATTTTAAGGAAGGAGAAAGTACTAACACTGGGGGTGATAGCAGAAGGAGCTTGCCATAGTAGTGCATGAACTGAACCTTGAAGGATTCTGAGAGGTAGAGGTAAAGAGACATTACATTGTAAACATAGACAGCATGTGCAAAGTTGTGCAGGCATACAATGGAATGCCAAGTGTGACAACAGCAAACTAGATCATTTTAGCTTGAGTAGAGAGAGTACTTGATGGGAAATAATATGAACCTACTAGAAAATTGGGCAAGAGAATGATTCAAAAGGTCTTTAAGTGTTATGCTGAGGAGTTTGTATTTTATCCCAGAAGCAAGAGGAAGCCTCCTTTCATTCTTGGAGAGTGACCTGACCAATCCCGTACTTTAGGGGGAAAAAAGTCTACTTTGTGGAGGGTAGATGGTCAAGAGGAGAGATAGGATTCCAGGAGTCCAATTAGAGGACCATTATAACAGCACAGGCTACATGCAGAAGGAACATGAGCTAAAGTGGTGTGACCCTTGGAGTATAGTGAAGGTGTTGGTCATGAAATTTGTTACGGTTTAAGTGATAACTGGTGACTGATTAAACATGAAAATGAAGAGAAAGTGATGAAGAATGCATCAACAGTATGATATAGTATCCAAAAAAGTGAGTGTGATCTTGAGGGTTTCATTAGGATTATCAGATCACAGATTGAGAGTTGTCAGGGGCCGTTGAGGCCATCTGATATAATTTCCCTACTTTGTAGTTCAAGAAGCAATACAAAAAGACATCATTCTAGAAATAAGGAAGTGACTGTCCCTCTCTACTCTGACCTTGTTAAACCACTTCTCAGGCATTGTGGTTCAGTTCTGGGCAATGTGTTTTAGGAATGGTGGCTGAAGAGGGTCTAGCACAAAGCAAACAGAATTTACCAGCCCACAGCTTATTTAAATGATTTCAATAAAACAGGGATGTTTAGCCAGAGAAGAAAACTTTCTTTCTTTTTAACTGCTGAAACAGGATTAATTTATTGTGAAAATTCGTAAGCAGACAGGATCCAGTGAGGATAAGGGAATACAAAACATTTGGGAAAGATCCTCTTCAGCTCGCAGTGTGGAAGGCAGGTCTCCAGTTGCTGAGCCGGGAGCCTCTCCTCTTCAGCCACCATTCCTAAAACACATTGCCCAGAACTGAACCACAATGCCTGAGAAGTGGTTTAACAAGGTCAGAGTAGAGAGGGACAGTCACTTCCTTATTTCTAGAGTGATGTCTTTTTGTATTGCTTCTTGAACTACAAAGTGGGGAGATTATATCAGTAGTAACAGAAGTAGGTGATGATCATCCTTGTGTAGGGGAAGGCTGGAAATCAGAGGCCCACAGTCAGGGAGCCTGCTGGTGGGTTCACAAGTCTTCCCTGGAGAAATGTTCAGAGAGATGAATTGCAGCAAACACAAAGATGAGAGTCCGCTGGACAGTCACGGCACCAGCCTTTGTTCCTGGAAGTGGAGGGCCAGGAGAAAAGATGGGTGTAACAGATGCTGTGAAGGGAATGGAGTCGAATTTATAAATGAGGGAGCGCCGGAGAACGTTGTAAAAGACAAGGGTGCCAGGGGAATATACCGGGTACACCCCAATCCTGGGCACTGTGCCTTTCATTCAATGTTTCAATGGTCCAGGATAGGTTTGGAAACAGTAACCTTCTTTCTTGACACATTGAAGCAAGAACACAGTCACAGGAGTCCACATTCCTCCCCCTTTATCTCCTTAAGTAAGGGATATAGATCCCTAGCATCAGCTGGGGTAGTTGAGTCACATCCACCTCCCAGTGCTGTCTGCCTGAGCTGAAGACCTACTTAGCAAGGATGGCATAGCAAGCAAAGTCATTAGGATGCTTGGTCTCTACCTGCCAGACTTCTCCAGCTTTCACACTCTTCAGATCCTCAGAAACAGTTACACAGGGACTTGCTGCCACAGAATCCATTGTGATGTCCACTCTGAATCGACTGAGTAACTCTATCATGCCAGGGGTGGGATATTCTCTCAATTCTGGGATGACAGTCTTGGACCTTTGGGACAACACTGACTCATTCCTTCTCAGCAACTGCTTGACATCCTGCAGCGGATCTAAATTGGGTTGCTGGTCTGCTTCCTGCAGCTCTAGCACGAGGGTTGGCATGTGCTGGGATAGTCTCTCCTGACTTGCCCTTTGCTCTTGCCTTATCTTTTCAAGATATCGGGGTTCTTCCTCTATCAGGAAATGGCGCAGTTTGTTATATTCTCCTGTAATCATCCAGTGCCAGTCAAGAACAGTTTTCTCCTGAGTAAGAAGTTTCTTAGCTTCTTCAAAACACTTCCCCAAGCAACTCCAAATTTTCTGGAGCTTCTCCCTGTAATTGTGAGCAGCCTCTTCTTTAGGAGAGATCATGTGAGTCCCACGTTCTGGGCTTTGGAAACATCTCAGGCAGAGTGATGTCTGGTCATCTTCACAGAAGAGCTTGAGCACTTCCTTGTGCCTGGTACACTGGCTCTGTCCTTGAGTACTCTGCAACAGTTGGGAGCTGAGCTGTTTGCCCAAGTCAGTCAGCTGTGCTAGGTGCCCATTGACTACTGGGAATTCTCTGTCCTGGCACACTTGCCTGTATTCAGGACAACAGAAAGCTGGAGCTCCAATTCTCCAGCTCCAAGAGAGACATGCTCTGCAAAAGCTGTGCCCACAACCAACGGTGACTGGTTCAGAGAAGTAGCTCCTACAGATGCTACAGGTGATTTTCTTCTGCAATTCGTGCAGCATTTCCATAGCAGCAGCCATCCTTCTCTCCAATTGCTTCTTTTCTGTAGCAATTGAGGTGAAGAGACTTCAGTTCCACTCAAGGCAGTGCTTCTGAGTACAAGGAGGCTCTCTTTTTAGAGGAGGTAGCCACACCTCTTTAGGGCCTCCCAGAGAAGGTATGAACTCTTCTGGTCTGGAATCCTGTTAACTCTTGCTGGTTGCAGTAGCTCTGAGGCCCCCAGAGTTCACACCTCTGGTTGACTCCTTTGGATTGATGGGTTTCACAATGCTGGGAGTGCTACTGTGTATGAGGAGCAATGCTTTTTATGCTTCTCTTGAGTCTTGTATTTGAAAATCAAATTTTCTATTCAGCTCTGGTCTTTTCTTCAAGAATGCTTGAAAGTTCTCTCTTTCATTGAATATCCTCTTGTCCTTTATGCTGTGGAAAGTGTGCCTAGGTCCAGGAACCTGAGATCATCAGGCTGAGTGCAAAACAGTCTCATAATTGCATGCCTGAAAAGTACATACAAGCCTTTTTTAGGTGCTTGGAGAGCTACCCCAACTGCAGGGTAAGAAGGGGATAGGGAGAGGGGGAAGGCTTACATACTTTCCAGTCTTGGCTGGAGAAGAACTTGGGGTAAGGTAGTTTCTTGGTCTTAAGGAATCATATGTTGAGGGTTAGAGGTTAAGGGGTACTGGGACCTTAAAATATTAACATGTGGGTCCTGCCTGAATGAATTTGACCCAAGCCTTCTTTCAGCCAAAGACAAGATTTATTAGAACATTGAGATTCCTAGTGCATCTTTGTTATTTGCTAGATTTTAATAAGTTGATCCAGAGAAGAAAACTTTCAATGGGATATTGGAAGCACTGTGAGAGAGTGGAATGACCACCAGATTTGAAGTCAAAGGACTTGTATTTAAATCTTGTCTCTATAATTAGGCTAATTATTTATTTCTTCTGGGTCTCAGTTACTTCCTTTGTGAAATGAGCTAGATTGCCTGAGCTACATGAACTAATTAGATTGGCCTCTGACGCTCCTTTAATGATCTGTGATCTTATGAACTGTCCTCAACTATTGAAAGTTTATCAAGTGGGAAAAAGTTCATTTAAAAAAATTAGTATTTTTTACATTGATTTAAAAAAAAATAGTTCCAATTTCTCTCCTTTTCTCCAGCCTCTCATCCACCCATTGAGGAGACAAGCAGTATGATATCAATTATATATATGAAATCAATGCAAAATGTATTTCCATACTAACCAGGTTGGAAGAAAGCAAGAAAACATAAAATGAAAAAATTATGCTTCAATTTGCATTCAGAGTTCATCATTTCTCTCCTTGGAGGTGGGTAGAATTTTTCATCATGAGTCCTTTGGAATTGTGTTGAATCATTGTATTGCTCCAAGTAGCTAAGTCATTTGCAATTGATCATACTTACAATAGTGTTGTGACTGTGCAGAATATTTTTCTGATTCTGTGCACTTCACTTTGTATCAGTTCATATGTCTTCTCAAGTTTTCCTGAAACTACACTTTTTGTCATTTTTTACAGTATAAAAGTATTTGATCACAATCATATGCCACAACTTATTCAGCCATTCCCTAATTGATAGACATTCCTTAAAAATGTTTTAAGGAAAATAGAAAGCTTTTGTTTTGGTCCCAGAAGAAAAGGGAGAAAGAGGCAGGCAGACCAGCAGACAAATAGATAGGCAGATAGATAATAGACAGATAGATAGATAGGTAATTTATTAAATGCTTACTATGTTTCAGGCATTGTACTAAGTGCTGGAAATACAAACGTAAGCAAAAATTAAGCAAAAATAAAAGCCCCTCCAAGGACTTTTATTCTAATGAGAGTAGACAACACATAAAATAAAGCTCAAAAGCAGGGAGAGGGAGAGTGTACCCACATTGTTGCAAAGTGGGAAAGTCTGGAGAGTCATAAATAGTGACAGGAGACAAGTGATCATTTATATTCTGGGCTCTTTGTGAAAAACTGGAAATAATGGTCCTAGACAGGAACTCACCAATTAGAAGAGGAGTCAAACAGGCAGAAGGATCTTCAGGGTGAGATAACTTCTGTCTTGGAGGTAGATTAGAGCCACAAGCAGAATGGGATGCTTTAAGAACCCTTGAGTTGGTCTTTCAGCAAAGGCAAGATGACAAATTGCTGGTAATGTTGTAGCAGGTATTTTTTTTCAGGCTTGCTTTGGACAAAAGCGCTCTTCTAATCCTAAAGTTCCATTATTCCATGAAGCCCTTGAGAAGAGATGGAGGACACAGAATGGTTGATGATCACAATAATGATCTAGCTAGGGTGATTATAGATGAGTAGAGTGAAATTCAAAGAAGTCAAGGATACTGATGGAGGATCTCTACAAACAATGAAGGATGATGAGTCAGCAAGATTTTCCTTTGGGCTGAGTGTACTAGTGAACTAGTGCACTGAATGAACTAGTAAAATCACATTTTATTTTTATATAAAGACAGAAATGTGACTAAGAAATACTTGGCTGAATTTGGTTATCTTCTTTATAATTAAAATACATAAGAAGTATGTTATATTTCCAAATGATTACTTTCACTGTATTTTGATGGCTTTCCCCCACTGCAATTTTTTTTAGGAGAAAGACAAGGTCTTGGCCTCTAGGAGGACATGGAAAAAAAAAAGAAGATGAAGTGTATGTTTCTTCTTCTTCTTCTTCTTCTTCTTCTTCTTCTTCTTCTTCTTCTT